ATTTAAATTTAGAAATTAATTGTAACACCATTAATATTTAGCTTCAATTTTGGACAGAGGCATATGGTTATCAATAAAATCATTAGTAAGGCAATGCTAAAAATTTTTATTGAATAATTAAATTTTAATCATTGAAGTATATAAATAACTATTTTAAGTTTTCAAAAGATTAAATATTTATAAATAGTCTTTAAAAAAAAGTAGAAATATACCTAAATAGTTCTTAATCTACTAAGCCTTAATTAAATAAACAATAAATATTAATTATCTAATTAAACAAACAATAAATACTAATTATCTAATGTTTAAAAGTCAAACAAATACACGATAATCTTAGCAGTTTAATAGTCATTATGAACTTATCCATTTCTATTATCAGACTTTCAAATTAATTTTTTGGTTCAATAGATAGTTCTTCAATCTATTTTCTTGTGATTCAGCATCAATATTCTTAATACCATAGTCTTCTTTCAAAATGAAACTAACATCATTGTTCTTTGTTATAGTAATTTCTTCTCACTCATCCTTCCCACTCAAACAGGTTAATCAAGCTTTCGCCAGAAAGTATATTAAGTCCTGCTATTGTTGTTGCTCTCTAAACTCATTTTTATTACTTTTTCTTCAGCAAAATTCAGTTTTTGGTGTTCAAAATTATATAGGTTAAGAATAAATAGTAGTTATCATTTTCAAATTTGAAATAGAGGAAGTTATTTCCTTTATTGATCTACTTCATTGAGCAGTTTTATTTTAACATGGGTTATTGGATGAAATTAGTGCTAATTCCATAACCTTCAAAAATAGTTTATAACAATTTAAGCTTCATTTTATACGTTTATTAATTAGTTCTCAATTTAATCAAGCTTTTGTTAATCTATTTTTGTTAATCTCTTAAGCTTGCAATTCTAAAGATGAGTAATCTGGTGCAGGATAAACTATCATTTGGCTTCTTAACATATGTTTTCAAAGATTGTACAACAAAGATGGTATTTTTTTCTTATCTTCCTTCTATCTTTCTTGTTTTTTATTTTTTAATAATTGTTTAGAATACCATTATTAATTCAATTTAGTAGTCTCCATCTTTATTTTAGTTTTCTTAGTTATGATTTTATAGAGTATCCCAAAAAAAATCTATGATGAACTTCTTAGTGATAGGCCAACTATTTCTCTTTGTGGTGTTTGCGGTAGTAAATGAGAAGTAGCTGCTTATAAAACAGGTCTTAGCAATGGATGAATTAAGTTTGTAATAAATAATCATATTGTGAATGGTGATATTGTTGTTTTTATAAATGTTGGAGATGATATCTTCCAATTTTATATTTTTAATGACAAAATTTTAGCTTTTCAGCCATGGCCTTCTCATGGTAGTGCAAATTCAACCTTTGGGATTAAAAGGAAGAGATCTTCTGATGATAAGTATTTTTTAGTAAATATTTATTTCAAAATTGATTAATTGATTCATTTGAATATTCTTTTGTTTTTTTAAATTTCTTAAAGACCTTGATAGTTTATAAATTCATATATGTTAGATTCTTCGTCAAACTTTGGACGAACGGATGACATAAATTTTAAAAATGAAGATGATGAGGAGGTGAATTGATTAAGATGGTCTATTCCTTGCTTCTGTATAAATTTAAGCCACTGGTTTTTTCTTTTTCAGGGCTCAAGCTTCTATATAAATTTATCTTCGTGGTTTTTTTTTTTTTTTTTTGTATAAATTGGATTCTAACCTTCAGGAGGTAAAAGTCATCCAATTCTATAACAACATTGTCCACATAGTTTGAAGCAAAAAGGTCCCTCTCCTATACTTACAGTGTCATCTATTTTAGCTCCAAGAGATGTAAATGCAAATTGGCAGTTGCATTTCCGGATATTAGATCTAAATCTCTTGGCTTTTGGTACACCTTCATAATCAAGAAGAGATTTTAACAACATAGGAGGATTTTTTCTTGGAGCTAATTGTAGTTTCCTGTCTTTACAACACATGGAGAAGCAAATATGCTTTATGTTTTTTGTTTTTGAACACTCATGACTAACAAAATAACATTATTAAAAAAAAAAAAGCTAAAGGAACTTGTCAAACAACACTTTCTCTAGTTCAAAGTTTCCATCCTCTATTAACCTTCTCTCTTTCTCCTGGACGAAACTAATAGCAACCAAAATTGAATCCTGCTACTTGTTATATTAGGCCTAAAAATATAGTCCACTTACTCAACAGACCTAAATTAATTTAGGTGTCATCCCTCTCTATTGTGCACTTGAGTCTATCAAGGATAAGATATGTAACTTGATTTAATAATAATCCCTCTCCCTC